CTATGAGTTGGAACCGACTCGATGGCACTTAACAACAAGAAGGAGCCATGATTTCTTGTTTCTAAGTCTGTTCTATATTTTTGTTGTTGAAAACTGGATATTTCAAATATTAAGTGGCAACTCTGGAAATAAGATCCCTGCTACCCAGGGTTTGTTTTTGTTGCTGTTTGTAGTAGTGGTAGTAGTAGTTGTGTGTTTGTTTAGTGACTTTTCTGGACTTAATCTTTAAAGTCTATATTCTTATTATTTGTGATCTTTGAAATCTCTGCATAGTGTCCTTGGACACTATGCCAGGAAGCAATAAATCTTCCAGCTTTACTGAAGGGCTCTGTGTGCATGCTGGGGAAACTTTCAGTGCTCAGTCAGTTAACAAATACGCCTTCATCTTCATTACTGCTTGTGGACAGCCTCCAGATCAGACAGAGGGGAGATCTTAGAGCTTTCTCAGGTCTTTCATGAGCATGTTCACAACCCTGGACATGAGCACACTCTTAAACATACATGTGTGTAGCCTTCTAGATACCCAGGAATGTGCAGGAGCTTTGAAAAATGTCCTGTTGACATCTTCCTTTTGAGTTTATGGTGAGTCTACTTACCCCAACTATTACCCCCTATCTCAAACATTTACCTGTATAATTGTTCGTGGCAAATGTCCTGCAAGGAAAAGCCCTTTTTGAACCAATGCTAACAGCCTACCAGGCTGAACAATACCAGATCTTCCAGTGACGCATCAGATAGATCAAACAATTGCAGTTCTTTGAAATTGAGGGTCCAAAGGAGTTCTAGTCCTATTGTGCTCCTGCCTGGCTACTGGAGTTCTCTGCAATTGCAGGCTATGAAATTCCAAGATCACAAATCTTGAGAGAAGGGGATGAGACTTGGGCAATTTAAAATGCCAAAAAACTCAGTGGTCTTATTGCAGATTCAACAGTGTTCTTGAATAAATATTTCCCAGTGTGGTGCTGTAAGATAAGCGCTGGGCAGCAAAGTCAGTTTGAACTGCAAGGTGGCAGTTCAAGCCCACAGGCTGCTCCTCAGACACTTTATACAGAGTCGCTATGA